AAAAACCCTTGCCTAAAAGTCTGCTGAGCACGAGCTGCCCCTTGGTGTCCCACAGTAAACATTGTACAGACGGTATTTGGCACTTTGTTCTCTACCACCCACCCGCTGTCTGTAGATTGTTTTTGCTGCACATCAGGTGGAAGGACCCAAGTTCCATCAGTAACAAAAGGAAAGTGAGAGCATCTCATGGAAGCTTCCCAGAGCTGTTCCTGACTGCGCAGCTTCCCCTCTGCCATCCCGCCTCCTTCCCTCGTGCTGGCAGACAGACTGGCTGGAGATCCAGGAACTGTGTTGGATTAAGAGATAACCTTGAGAATGGCAGCCACCCAAAACAAAGCAACAAAATAAAATAGAAAGAGCTTGTTTCCCCCTCACCCAGGGATCCCATATCAGCCCCACACTGGTGACCTCCAGATTTCCAGAACTTGAGAGAAAAAAACTAAATTACAATAGAAAACAATAGAGAATCTGAGTATCATTTTAGATAGGATGGATAAGGGAAGCCTCTCTGCGTGTGTGACATTTGAGCAGAGACCAGAATAAAAGGAGGGAGTATGCCATGCCTGCGCTTTCTCTTCTCTCTTGGGAAAAGAATGTTCCAGACAGAACCAACTCCCTGCCACCCAAGCTGGAAACCTGAACACCATCCTTGAGCCCTTTCCCTTCCCAAGTGCCCCACATAGAATCTGTCACCAAACCCCATCAAGTCTACTTATACTTGGGTCTTGAGAACAAACACAACACAAATCAAACCTACAGACTGTCTTGAATCCATCTTCTCCTTCTGATTCATTCTGCTGGAGCAGGACTGGAGTGGGTTGAATGGCACCCCCCTCCCCCCAAGGCATGGCCTGATCCCCACAACCTGTGAATGTGACCTTATTTGGAAGAAAGGTCTTTGCATATGTAATTAAATTAAAGATCTCAAGATTATCCTGGATTATTGATGGGCCCTAAATCCCATGACTGTCCTCATTAAGAGGCAGAAGACAAGACATAAGGAGGAGAAAGGAAAGTGCCAGGTGCGGGCAGAGGCAGATGCCACGTGAAAACCAGCCAGAGGATGCCTAGAGCCCCCTGCAGTGGAAGAAGTTCCCTAGAGCCCATGGTAGGAACCTGGCTCTGCTGACACCTTGATTTTGGTCTTCTGGCCCTCTAGAAGTGTAAGACAATATATTCCTGTTTTTTTAAGCCACCAAGATTGTGGCAATTTGTTCTTGTGGCCCTAGGAAATGAATACATTTTCTTTAGCACAATATCTACTCTCTCTTAGCTCCAGGCTCCATAACTTATCTGTTTAGAAATCCCTGTAGTAAAAACATTTTGATCATGTATCTCAATGTAGTAAAAATGTTTTACAACTATTAGTGCATACTACTATACTAATAAGTATGTTGTAAAACATACCTAAATGTCTATGCTAGACGTGAAAATGGATGAGACAGATGGGAGTGTAAAACGATACAGCCACTTTAGAACTGTTTGTTTGTTTCTGGTAAAGTCTCATAGACACTGACCCCATGACCCAGCAATACCTTTTCTTGGGATTTACCCAAGAGAAATTAAGGTATATGTCCCTACAAAGATTTGTGTACAAATATTCATAACATTTTATCAGTAACAGCCAAAACTAGAAGCCCCAAATGTCCGTGAGCAAGAGAGGGGATAAACAAATTGTAGTACACCCATACATACTTTATACTTCTCAGGTATAAAAAACAAGTGATTTTTTAGGGGTAACAATATTATTGAGATATAATTGACTACCATCCATGCAAACTTAAAATGTAAAATTCAATGATTTTTAATACAGTTGCAGAGTTGTGATATCCTCACCACAGTCAATTTTAGAACATTTTCTTCATCCCCTAAAGAAACCCTATATCCATTAGCTGTCCCTTCCCATCCAAACTCCACACTCCCCAGCCCCAAGCAAGCTCTAATCTGCTTTCTGTCTCTACAAATTTGCCTATTCTGGACATTTTGTATAAATGGAATCATACAATCTTTGGTGATAACCAATCTACACTTGGATTAAGAGATAACCTTGAGATTGGCAGCCACACAAAACAAAGCAACAAATGAAATAGAAAGAGCTTATTTCCCTCTCACCCAGGGATCCCATATCAACCCCACACTGATGACCTCCAGATTTCCAGAACTTGAGAGAGAAAAACTAAATTACAATAGAAAACAATAGAGAATCTGAGTATCATTTTAGATAGGCTGGATAAGGGAAGCCTCTCTGAGTGTGTGACATTTGAGCAGAGAATAAATTTTGATTTAGAAATCCACTGATTTTTGTGTATGAATTTCTATCCTTGCTGGATGTGTTTGTTAATTCTAACAGTTTTGGTATGTGTGTGTGTATCTTAGGATCTTCTATATACAAAATCATGTAGGAATGAATATATGCAGCAATATAAAAACACTAAAGCCAGGTACCAAAGAGCACATGTATATGATTATATTTACATGAGGTTCAAGAACAAGAAACCCAACGTGTGGTGCTAGAAATCAAAACAAGGTTAACTTCAGGACAGGGGATGGGGAAGCAGTGACTGGAAAGGGGCATGAGGAGATTTTGGGGAGTGATGGAAATGTTCTATATTTTGAACTGCATGATGGTTATATAGGTGCATATGAGTGTGAGTCATAGTCGTTCAGTCATGTCCAACTCTTTGTGAGGACCCCATGGACTGTAGCCCACCAGACTCCTGTGTCCATGGGATTTCCCAGGTGAGAATACTGGAGTGAGTTGTCATCCCCTTCTCCGGGGGATTTTCCCTCCCTGGGGATTGAACCCGGGTCTCCTGCATTGCAAGCAGATTCTTTACCAGCTGAGCCACCTGGAAGCCCATACAGCTGCATGGAGTGAGTGAGTGAGTGAAAGTTGCTCAGTCGTGTCAGACTCTTTGCAACCCCATGGACTATACACTCCATGAAATTCACCAGGCCAGAATATTGGAGTGGGTAGCCTTTCCCTTCTCCAGGGAATCTTCCCAACCCAGGGATCAAACCGGGGTCTCCTGCATTGCAGGTGGATTCTTCACCAACTGAAGCACATACAGGTGCTTACATGTATTCAAACTTATTGATCTAACACTTAGGATTTATGCATTTGACTGCGAGTCAATTATACTTTAATAAAAATAAAGAGATAAAGATGAAATAAACTATTTTAAAAGACTGTGGCCTAATGTATCACTAGCTAATTATTTCAAGGCCTTCTATGTATATAGGGACTAGCTCATCATTAGTGATATACGAAGTAGAGACAGAATTCAAATAGCCTTGCTCATTTTAATTGTTTTGACTGATTACTTATTATATTTGGTCAGACCTTTTGTTTCTTTTAACCCCAAGGTGTGACTGATGAGTAGCTTGTATTAGAGACAGGAAAGTAATCAGCACTCTTGTTTTCTCACTGTTCATTAGCTTTAATCCAGTTTCTATGTAGAAATCTTTCTCAGCCACTTGCTTGTTTCGTAAGGGTCAGTTCTAGTTAAAGCCAGATAATATCATGCATAAAACTTCAACTAGTTTAAGTTTGGAATTATATAAAAATAAAACATTGCCCAGAAAACTGAAAAACAAAACATATGAAAAAAACAAAAATAAAGAACAAAAAATCTTCAACCAAGCAGTTTGAAGATATAAAGCCTCATAAGACGCTTAAAATGGTTCAGGAAACAAAGCAAGGGGCCGCTAACAACCACTTCTCATTGTGAGAGACCCTAGGTACAAGATGATACTACTAACCATCTGAAAGTCTAACCAAGCAAGGTTACCATCAAGAAATTGGTTACAATGGAACTTGTAATATTTTCTTCCCACTCTGAGTGGATTATGTTGCACACACACAAGGACCAGATAGTGGACCCAGATGCAGGAGAAATCGAATTATTCTGCTTTTCTTCCAGCAAATTGGCTCTTAAGGACTCTAATTTACCAGCTTTGCATGAAGCAATCCACCTCAGATCTACTCTGTTGCTTTTTTTTTTTTTTTTGGCCACACCAGCATGACTTGCAGCATCTCAGTTCCTCAACCAGGGAGTGAACCCAGGCCATGACGGTGAAAGCCCAGAATCATAACTACTAGGCCATCAGGGAACTCCCTGTTGCAATTTTAAAGGCACTGTGAAGTGCCAGCTTGTAGAATGAGAGAGGGATGCCCGCCTCAAATGGCACAGAACATTCTGTTTGGGGAGCACATGGGTGATGCCAGTAGGGAAGATCTGAAACCCATCCATCCTCTGGGTTGGAGGAGTGGGCATCAGTTCCCTGACATACTGGAAGAGACAAGAGAGGCGCGAGACCCTTCCGTTCCATCTCCCGGGGTCTCCCACAGTCAGCATGCCACACAGCTCCAAGGCTGGGGAGCACCATGTTTTGCTCTGATGCTTAGCATTTTGCTTCTAAGAAAGGGCGCAGGTGTCATATATTAATGCATATATGTGGAATCTAGAAAAATGGTATAGATGGTCTTATTTGCAAAATGATAATAGAGACACAGACATAGAGAACAAATGTATGGACACCAAGAGGGGAAGGGGGTGGGTGGGATGAATTAGAAGATTGGGGTTGACACATATACCCTATTGATACTATGTGTAAAATAGATAACTAATGAGAACCTACTGTATAGTTCAGGGAGCCCTAATTCAGTGCTTTGTGGTGACCTAAATGGGAAGGAAATCCAAACAAGAGTGGATATATGTGTATGTATGGCTGATTAACACAGCACCGTAAAGCAGCTACACTCCAGGAAAACCCAATAATATTTAAAAAAGGGTGGGGGGGTTAAGAAGGGAGCCTAGGAACAAAGTCCTCTCCAAAAGCCTCTGCCTGGAGGGGTGGTCTGGGCCCTCACCCCAGAATCTATTGCAGGGCTTCTCAGTAAAACTATGATCAGAGTTTCCAAAGGGAATTGCCATACACTAAGTCTCTTCTACAGAAAACATTACAGAAGGAAATGGAAATAACATTGAGGTCTCTTACCTTATTTTCAGTAAGTGGAGGCCGGATTGAATTTTCAGTTTCTGTGCCCTTAAAGACAGGACAAGATAAGGTGTTATAGAGGCATGCAACTTGCATTCACAGCACATTGGCGCTTGTAATTAACCAACTATGCTCAGAAAGTGAAAGTAATTATACGTAACCTTGAAATACCTAAGCATATCCTATAGTGGCAAATGAGCCTCTGGATGAAATGCAGCCGAGCTCAGAAATCTTCGATTCATGAATTCATTCACATCGGCCTTTATTAGGTATTTACAAATGTGCTAGGCACTGTGCCAGAAGGTGGAGGTGCAAAGATGAAAAAGGACAGTGGCTCTGCCCTCAGGGAGCCACAGTCCACAAGAGAAGACAGACATGCTCATCAGTAATGAAAGCACAGCTGGCTGAGCTAGCTGCTAGAGAGGTGGGTAGGGAAGCCGTGGGAACACAGGAGTCTGTCTCTGCTGAGACACTGGCCCCACCGAATCCCCAAGACTGCAGGGTGAGACGCTTCCCAGATCTCAGCCCTGCAGTTAGCACCCCGCCCTCCCATAACCCTCTAACAATTTCCCCTGCCAAACAGATTTGGGGAGCTGCTGCCAATCAAGTCCTTCATTGGAAGGACTGATGTTATAGCTGAAACTCCAATACTTTGGCCACCTGATGCAAAGAACTGACCCATTGGAAAAGACCCTGATCCTGGGCGAGATTGAGGGCAGGAGGAGAAGGGGACAACAGAGGATAAAATGGTTGGATGGCATCACTGACTCAATGGACATGAGTTGGGGTAAACTCTGGGAGTTGGTGATGGACAGGGAGGCCTGGTATGCTGCGGTCCATGGGGTCGCAAAGAGTCAGACACGACTGAGTGACTGAACTGGACTGCCAAACAAGACAGGCTCATGTGGATTTCTTCATCATGGCAGCTGCGGTGATAAGGAGGACATAAGTAGTAAATTGTTCGCCAAAAAAACAAAAACCAGCCACAAGAGTTGGCCTCTCTGTATCTATGCGCTGGCGTTGTCTCCTCCCACAGTGACTCTGAGACTGGCTCTGTGACTTGCTTTGGCCAGAAGGACAGGGGTATCAGCATGCAAGCACTTGAAAAATGGCTTGTGCTGGGGCCTGCTCCTTCCTGCTGCTCTTGGGACTCCTGCAAACACCACTCTCAGTGGGTGAGAGGGAATGGAATCCAGAGTGACAGAGCACAAGAGGAAATCCTCCTTTCAAGGAAGGAGACTGAGATTTCGAGAAGGTTGCATGGCAGCCTGCAGACATGCAGCAAGACCCTGTGAGAACCAGCAGGAAAATTTGCATCCCCCTGAAAGGCAACCCCTATCTTTTCAGCATTTCTTATCCTGCCTCAAGTAGAAAATAGGTGCTCAATTAATGTTGGAGGTTATAAATTGAGAAGCCACACCCTCTTCTAAGCAGATTCCAAACCAAAGAAGCCCTTATATAATGGTCCCTGGGACATCCCCGGTGGTCCAGTGGCTAAGATTCCACGCTCCCCATGCAGGGGTCCTGGGTTCAATCCCAGGTCAGGAAACTAGATCCCTCAGGCCATAACTAAAAGATCCCTCATGCTACAACAAAGATCAAAGATCCTGTGAGCTGCAACGAAGACCAGGTGCAGCCAAATAAAATAAATAAATAAATACTAAAAGAAATAAATAAATCATTGTCCTAGGGAAGTTGGGAAAACAAGAAAAGCCATGACCAGGACAATCTAGGCATGTCTTCTGCATGCCCAAGACCCAAACAGTCTAGGCTTTACATTGGTACTCCATGAGAGCAAGCTTCCCTGAAAGGACTCTCATGAAATCTTGCAAATATCTTACAAATATTTGTAGGCCTAGAAAGAAGAGAGAGCGGTCAATAAAAAATATTGTCTGGGGCTTGGGATAGCCAGGGAACCAAAGAAAAAGAAACTGAATGAACCATATAATTTTTGGCCCTTTGTTAGATGAAGAGTAGGAATGCAATATTCCAAGCACAACATTCCTAAGCTTGAAACAACTGGAAATAAAACTGCCCTGAGGAAGTTATGGTTTGAGTGGCATGCCTTGCCCTGAGCCTTAAGGTTGATGTGAAGTTACAAAAAGCATAGGTTTTGGGTCAGAGAGACCTGAATTTATATCCTAGATCTGCCACTGACTAACTGTGCAAAATTAGGCAAGTAATTTAACCTCTCCAAGCCTCAGTTTCTCCATCTGTAAAATGGGAATAACACCTGCTTTGTTGGGCCTTTCTGAAAATTAAAGGAATGAAAACTGAAGTGGCTGGCACGGGGTACTGCTCCTGAAATGGCAGCGGCTGTGTGGATTTATGGATCATGGATTTATACAGAAGCACAGGGCAACAACACCAACTTACCCCAACTCACTCCGGGCTACTTGAGAGGTCAAAGCGGCCTCCAACTCAGCAGTTTTCAGCTTGTGTCTGAGACCCCAGAGCCCATGTTCCTCTCTCTGGGCCCCCAAGTACCATGGAGGACCAGTCCTAGACCCACGGATTGACCTCGAATTCCAAGTGCAAGTGGCCAAGCCTGCTGACTGCCACCTGGCACCTCTGACACTGGCTGCTTTGTGACCCTCTCCGAGGCTGGCCTGGCCTGCTTTAAACACTCAGTGGCATTCTGCCTGGAGCTGGCAAAATCAGGCAGGGGCACAGGAAAGGGACAGTGGGGACCAGGAGAGGTGGCAACGACACCCCAGACAAACCTTCCAGTTGGGAGGGCCTCCTCCTCTGAGCAGGCACAACTTGCCTCGTTCTGGTTGTGGAGTAAAGGAGATAAGGGAAGGAAAAGAAGTTGAAGACCAGGGACTCACAGTCTCTGACTGTAACCAGACAGGTGCCTCAGATTCCACAGAAGACAGAGACTGAGCTTCCACTGGGGAGTCAGAAATGAGATGAAATCCAATTCTCTCAACACCCTGCGACATAGGAAGGACGTGTCTGGGCTACACTTTGCAAAGTCCATCTCAGAGATGAAGAAGGGCACATTTTAAACCAGTCCTGCAGGCCTGAGGGAAAGAGCCCCCACCTCACCCCACTCCTGTGTGCCGAAGCCCCTCACCTAGAGGCTAACGCAGCCCACAAGCTCATACACCCTTCCCCACTTTCAAACACTATTTGGGAATTAATTTGACACCCAGGAGTGCTGGGGCCACAGGAGTGTTTGAGATGTAAGATGCTGGTGTGAGAGTTCTGTCCCCAAAACTTTAGCTCTGCGATTGTCTGACTGTCTGTTGGGCTTAAAACCCGGCAGTGCCTCTATTTCCATAACTTTAAAAAGGAGCAAGTGTGCCCTTGCCCAGAGGGGCCATCTGCAGTACAAGTTAATTTAAAATGAGCCAGCCCACTTAGAACATTGTCCTGTAAACATCTTCCAGGATGTGTTTCAACATCCAGAGGAGCAGCAAAGCTGTCTGTAAGAGGCAAGAAAGGGCTTTAGCTTTTACATGGCAACATGGAAAACAGCCCTAGAAGTCTTCTCTTAGAAAAAGGTCACAGTCTTATTTACATCACGCATCTGTGACTTTGCAGATGACTATCTAGGAAGTAATTAAACAGAGGGGTTACATGAATAATCCTCTGGGCTCGCCTTAGTCAGGACATTTCCAGCTCAAGTGAAAATTAAACTGCACAGAAAAAGGCTGTATCTGAGGGGTTCCTGACTTGTTCCATAACAAGTCCCTGCAGGGCTCTTGGTCTGGGGCTTCCATTGTAAAATGGACCCTAATGTAACTCCTGCCAGAGTGAGTGGGCTGAGCAGGAAGGGGCGCATGTGACCTTGTGAAGTCAGAGGAAAGCTAGAGGAGCTCTTACCCATCCTCGCTGGCAGGTCTGCCCCATGGTGGGGAGGACGCTTGCTGTCTGGAGGTCCTTTCCTCTCTTCCACTCTCAGCAGCAGGGGCAGTGACGCCTGGAGAGAAGCAAAGCCCAGAGGATGCAGCGTCAGGGGCTTGTCAACCTTGTTCCTGTCCTCACCAGCTGGGATGCTAAACAGGCAGATACTGAGGACTAGGGACTGAATGTAGGCCCATGCCTCCAAAAGTAAACTGTCCTAAGATTTCTGGCAGGTTACCATCCCATAAGAAATTCCCAGGAACCTAGTCTGCAGGTGGTGTCTCATCCCAGCCTTAGCCTCCTCTGATTAGAAAGAGGTCTGGTCTTGGGTGCTCCTTTGGGGAAGGAACCAAGTAGGAACGGAAATTAGCCAAGATAACTCCAGTGTTTCAGAAGTGTGATCTTCATCATAGTATCATTCTTCTCCCATGTCTAAAATGGGGTAGCGACTTTCCTGGTGGTCAGGTGGTTAAGACTTCACCTTCCAATGTAAGGGGTGCAGGTTCAATCCCTGGCTGGAGACTTAAGTTCCCACATGCCTAGTGGCCAAAAAGCCAAAATATGAAACAGGAGCAGTGGTGTAACAAATTTAATAAATACTTTAAAAATAGTCCATATAAAAAAATAAACAAATAGGGTAGAGAGTATCTCTGGGCTTCCCTGGTTGCTCAGCTGGTTAAGAATCCACCTGCAACCCGGGAGACCTGGGTTTGACCCCTGGGTTGGGAAGATCTCCTGGAGAAGGGAGCAGTTACCCATTCCAGTGTTCTGGCCTGGAGAATTCCATGGACTGTACAGTCCATGGGGTCGCAAAGAGTCGGACATGACTGAGTGACTTTCAGGGAGTATCTCTGTGTAAAAAAATACTTTTCTAATTACAAAAGCAATGTACACTCATCACAACAAAAGTCAGAAAATACAGACAAGTAGTTTAAAATTATAGATCAGTTTCATTCCTACAGAAACAAGCTCTATTAACACTGTGGTACCTGCCCTTTCCTTATATTTTTCTCCAGATAACTACATACCAATATGAATACAAAGATGGAATCATGCTATAATATACTTTTGAAATCTACTTTTTTCCGTGGAATGCTATATTATGAAAATCCTTTCATGTCAATTAATCAAGATCTCAGTGGCTTCTCTGGTGACTCAGTGGTAAAGAATCTGCCTGCCAATGCAGGAGATGTGTATTCGATTCCTGGGTCAGGAAGATCCCCTGGAGAAAGAAGTGGCAACCCACTCCAATATTCTTGCCTGGGAAATTCCATAGACAGAAGAGCTTGCTGGACTAAAGTCCACGGGGTTGCAGAAGAGTAGGACATGACTGAGCGACTAAACAACAACAACAATAATCAAGATCTCATCATTTTTTGTTTGTTACACTGGGTAGAGATTTAGAATTTGTATACAGAAAGGCTAATTCAAGAATCCTTATTCAATAGCCTAAAGTTAAAATTCATAGCAATATTATTGTCTCTACATATCATGAAGAGCTTACAAATATAATGTGATTTGCCTAGCAATTAGGGTCCTGCAGCAAATCCAAAGCCTCCCTACAATTTGAGGCCTTTTCAGTTCTCAGAGGATAAGCCAAGAGTCCAAGCTTCTAAACACTGGCGTAAGCTGGGCATGCAGCCACTGAATCCCAACAGTTCAGGGTGTGTGAATTCTGCCAGAATTGGTCTTGGCAGGATATCTGGGGCACCCCTGACACCCCAAAGCCTCCCTGGATCAGCTCAGAGGCATAAACAAAACTTGTGGGGTTGCTTTGTTATTTGTTTACTTCAACAAAGTTTGATTTAAAGTTCACACTTAATTCCTTTATCCCAAGAATTTCTGGAAGAGAAAAGACATGAACTTGGCTATCAAATATCTTTCAGAGAATTTAGAAATATCAGTACTTTGACACTTACTTGATAATTGCCCCCCCCCCCCCAACTCTTCCATCAGAGGATAAGCTCCCAGGATATGGGGACTTTGTGCATTCCCTGGTTCTAGGTACATAGTAGGCGTCGAACATAGTCTAGAGGTTGGGCTACTTGGTTTGGAGCCCTATTCAACCACATAATAGCCTTGACTCTGGAAAATTTACTTGGCCTATCTGAGTCTCAGTTTCCTCAACTGTAAAATGGGGAGAATAATAATAGAGCCACATAGGAATGAGGTACATAAACTTAGAAGCTTGGTATCTAGTGCATATTCAAGATATGTTAGTTAACCATCATTCCTGTTGATTGATAAGCAAATTTACTGAAATTCAAAACAGCCATGAAAGTAAAAAGGGCTTTTACTGAGAGCCAGAAAAGACTTATAATTAGGGGCACAGCCTGTTCAGAGATGGTTTAAAGAAGTGAGTCCACAGGGAACACAAGACAGTCTGTTGGGGTGACTGAAGATGCTATCAGGACTTTTATTTACAACTTTTTAAATCTCACCCTGTAACTTTTTTAGGCTAGTCTTTATAATGTGTACATTATTTTAGTACCTTACTAAATGTATATAATTTTTTAAAAATTGAGATATAACTCACATACCAAAAGATTCACATTTCAAAGTATATGTATACTTCAGTGGTTTTAGTGTGTGCATAAGGTTGTGCAAACATCACCACTATTTAATTCCAGAATATTTTCATCACCCTCAAAGAAACCCTGTAGGGAATCCCCTGGCTGTCCAGTAGTTAGGACTCCCTGATTTCACTGCTGAGGGCACAGGTTCCACGTCTGGTCAGGGAACTAAGATCCCAAGAGAAGAGTCAGTCGCTCAGTTATATCTGACCCTTTGCAACCCCATGAATCGCAGCACACCAGGCCTCCCTGTCCATCACCAACTCCCAGGGTCCACCCAAACCCATGTCCATCAAGTCGATGATGCCATCCAACCATCTCATCCTCTGTCGTCCCCTTCTCCTTCTCCTCCTGCCCTCAATCTTTCCCAGAATCAAGGTCTTTTCCAATGAGTCAGCTCTTCGCATCAGGTGGCCAAAGTATTGGAGTTTTAGTTTCAACATCAGTGCTTCCAATGAACACTCAGGGTGGTGCAGCCAAAAAAAAGAAAGAAAAATACCTTGTACCCATCAGCAGGTACTCCCCATTCACTCTCCCCACCCTAGTCCCTGGCACCCACTAAGCTACTTTCTTCTCTGTGGATTTGCCTATTTTGAACATTCCACATATGTGGTATCATATGTGTATACAATCTCAAAATAATTAAAATACATGCATTTGGGAATGTGCCTGCAAAAGTATCTTACCAATAGAGTGCATGACCAAAAAAGTTTGGAGACATCCAGCTGGGAGTGTAAAGCCAGCTTAGTTTTATGCCTGGTTCCTCTTAGTTTGCTCCACAGGCACTAACAAAAGGTAATAGGCGCTATCAATCTAGCACTAATGAAATTCCAATCTTTGGCACAGTCCAAAGAAAAGTATGACCTATGGGCAACAAACAGCTTGCTTTGTAATTTATGATTTAATTCTATTTTTATAAAAAGAATGCTAGGTAGACTAACAGAATAGCAATGCAGCCTAGGACCTGGGCTCAATCCTTGCTCTGCTACTTACTGAACTTCTCTATGTTTGCTTGTCTATACAGTGGAGGTCATAATAGGTGAGAGTGAATGACCCTCCTCTACTTTCTTTCTTGGCTGCACCACATGGCTTGCGGAACCTCAGTTTTCTCATGCTTGCGTGTGTGCATGCTCAGTTGTGTCTGACTCTGCAGCCACATGAACTGTAGCCCGCCAGGTTCCTCTGCCCATGGAAATGTCCAGACAAGAATACTGTGGTGGGCTGCCATTTCCTCCTCCAGGGGATCTTCCCGACCCAGGAATCAAACCCAAGTGTCCTGCATCTCCTGCACTGGCAGATGGATTATTTACCTGGGAAGCCCCTGAGCTCTCTCACCAGGGATTGAATTCAGACCTCAGCAGTGAATGCCTGAAATCCCAACCACTAAACCACCAGGGTACACTCCTATTTGCACTAGAACATGGCCTTAGTTAATGCTCTAGCTCTGTTCCCCTACTTACCTGGTAAGGGTAGTATGTCAAATTTATTTCTAAGCAACATCTCCTAGGATAAAGATCATCCCTGATTGGTAGATTGCTTTTGGTTGGATGAACTATAAACACTAGATAGAATGCCATAGCTTTGGGCGTCCCTCAGAAAGGTGATTCTTGTCCTGTCCCCACAGGGACCCTGGAAGATGTCCCCGTGGAATTGTTACAAGAGAATTTGTCTCCTGTGGGGAAGGGGGATTTTAAGCTAAGAGGAATCCTGCACCTGCCTGATGAGATTTTGTCTCCTCCTATCTGTGAACTGCGACACAGACTCCTTCAGAAAAGAAGCGCTCGGACTTGTCCTGCAGGCAAGTTGTGGTTCCTGTCTTATGGTCTTGCATGCAGAATGGGGCCAAGTGTGGCCTGTGGCAGTCTTTAAATCTGGAGGTTTAGTAGCGTCTAGGAACTCTCCTGATGTGCGTTGCAGATTAAGTAATGTGGAAAGCCTGGCATACATAAGTACTTAATAAGTGACAAATATTAGTACTAAATAAATATGGCCATTATTATTATTAATGTTATATCTACACTTACCAACTCAGAGCGGGCAACAGATTATTCTAACCCAGAGAAGCCCAGGTGTGGGTATCAAGCTGCCAGATGTAGCCCCATTATGAAGCATGAGAGAACACCTCTCTGTAATTCTCAAAGCTGAAATTATAAAGATATCCCTTCACCGACTATTTATTTGTACTAGATGTTAGGAGCACCATAGTGAAAAAGATTGACACAGTCCCTGCCTTGCAGAGTTTATAACAATTAAAGAGCAATGATAGTGTTAGGTAGTTAGAATAGGAAAAAGGAGTCTAGAATGGTGGTGGCTAAAAGACAAAGGGAAAAGTCAGTGAAAATAGAACAAAGGAAGTTCTGAGGACCAGATTGAGGACCTCAGGTAAAACAGCCCTCCTGGCTAGCCCAATTTGCATAGGGCATGCTCAGGGGGAGGAGAACAAACATAAAAA